AGGACCCCATGTAGCTGCTTCCTACCCTGTTTCTGGATGGCTGTTTCCGGCTGGTGCCTGGGCCGTATGACTGATGAGGAGAAAGGGGTTTTTGAGAACAAGTCTGACCAAAAGGATGGTCACCTGCTGGGAATTAGCAGCAGGAATAAATGGAATAAGATGGATCCTCAAGGGGAGACTCAGTACAGAGGGGCATGTGTCACATTCATACTTGGTTCTAGAAGAAAACAAAAGCCTCTGAAATCCTTAAGAAGAGTCAGCAGTTGGGAACATTGCCTGGGAATGAGAATGAGGGTGGATCTAGCTACAGATAAGTAGCAGGAGGCTGAACAGTGATCCAAGTGAGGGCTCAGGCTCCAGTGAGAGCAGGGTGAAGGTGGAAACACTACAAAGGAGGATCTTGATGGCAGATCTGCTCTGAGGGTGAAGATGACACATAGATCAGGAGTTGTCCATCCCAACAACAGGCTATTGTAATGCTCCTGCTGACCAGGGATAAAATGAGTACAGGCTATTTTCTTCAAAGCTATTCTCCTAAGAACACAGATGCTGCAATCCAGGCCAATTTGATATAGAGAATATTGAGTTTACTGACTAGATAAAATAGGGAACTGATTCGTCTCACAGAAAGTGAAGCCTTGAGCTTAAAAGAGGCTTTGCCCACTTGCTCAAGTCACAGATGTATTCTCTTCTTTCTTTCTCTCTTCCTGCCCCCTGCCTCCCCACAAAGGAGAACAGATGGACCAGCATCAGCCACACTTCCTTTTCTCTCTCTGCCTTTCCCTGGTCTCTTCTGCTATTGTCCTCCACTGGCTTACCAGCATCCTTAGCTTCCTCCCAAACCTTCCTCCATCTGGGCCCTTAACTGGCCCTGGCCAGTTAACCAGGCATGGGCCTGACCAAGAGCGAGCTCCTACTTTGGCCTGCATGTGTCAGAAAGCTGCCAAGGCCACTGTTCCTGCAGTACACACACCCCACCCCCACCCCAAGAACAGGGGCCAGCATAAGAGAGGAAAAGAAAGTGAATGGCTTGGGGGTTAAGGGCCCTGGCTCAGGGGTCAGGAGACTGGGGGGCCGTAGGTAAAGCATGCCACCTTTCTGAGGCTCAGACTTCACATCATAAAGTGGGAATGATAATAGTGCCCTCCCATGTTGTGAGACTGATCACCATGGGAGTAGGTAACAGTCTGAGCCTAGAACCACACTGCATAGTACCAATGCCACACCTTGCCTACTTCCCTTGGCAGTTTGTCTAAACCAGCCCTAGCGAGAGAAGAGCCATCAGCAGGTGGGTGGCAGAGCACAGAGGGTGAATTGTGGCTGACCCTCAGTTCCAGTGAGGACTTGGACTACTTCCAAGGCTCTGTAAACCGCCACAACCACCTAGCCCCTCTTTGGGAAGCAACTTAGTATAAACCATCAGAGGCTTCTGTTCTGGAAACTGTGAGAGTGTTTCCACGGGTGGCATCCAATTTCTGTGCACATGGGCCACTGTTCAGATGCCAAGTCAGAAGGAGCTGGAGCCCTCCTTGAATCTCCTTTTCTGTCCTCTCAAGGAAAGGACAAAAAGAGAAGTTGAGGTCAGGGAGACTAAGTGATTCACCCAAGGTCATGGTTAAGTTGGTGCCTTGATGTCGGGGCTGGGCCTCCTGCTGAATCGCAGATCTCTCTTGTGATGGCAAAGCCCTGTGATTATCAGCTTAGACTGTGGAAACAGGCTTGGGTTTGAATCTCAGCTCTTCCACTGAATGGTGTAACTTTGGGCCAGCTACTTAACCTCTCTATGAGTCAGTTTCTTCACACATAAAATGTGAAGCAGAAAGTATTCACGAACCATGTTATTGTTTGTTGTTATTAATAGATGCAAGGAAAAGAGCCGAAGAGAAAACAGGGCTGGTTGGGTCTCATCCCCAAGCTCCAGTATAATCTGTCGTCTTGTTCTCAAGCCTCATCATCTCACACAGCTGACAGACTTAGGCAGGCTGTCCTGGGTTTGCCCTGTAATTCTAGACCAGATCTTCTTTTATTTATTTTTGTTAACTATTTAATGTCTACAGTAGGTACCTAAATACCCACCACTCAAGAAACAGGAAACTACTATTACCTTTGAAGTCCTGCATGCCCCCTCATTCCAGTCCCGCTCCCTGGTAACCATTCACCTGAAATTTACATTTATCCTTCCCTCTCTTGGTTTGACCCTATATGGATGTATCCTAAATAATTTATTAGTTTTATGTGTCTTTAACCTTAATATAACTGGAAGCATGCTGTATGATCTTCTTTAACTTGGCTTTATTGCTCAAAGTATTTTTGTTGTTTATCCATACTGATGCGATTGTAGTCCACTTGATTTCACTGCTGAATAATTACTCCATCGCATGACTATGCCACAATTAACTTATTTATTCTCCTCTTGATGGGCAATTGGGTTATTTCCAGCATTGTTTTATATTCTGTTAGAAATGGTGCCTCAATGACAATTCCTGCACATGACCTTGGTGTACAGGGTATATTCTTAATGCTCTGTCATGTCTAGGACCCATGCTGGGTCATGTTTGTGTATGTCATCAAATGTGTTAGGTAATACCAAACTGTTTCCAAAGTGATTGCACCTACTTATAATTTTATCAGCAATGTACAGGAGTTCCAAATTTTCTTTAAGGGTGGGATTATTCATTTTTCATCTGTTAATCTAGTGATTAATTAATTTTCATGTCCACTGTGCCATGTAGATTGAGATTGAGTGTTTATCACAGTATGTGGTTCTCCATGTGCCGTGGAAACCATGCCACATGGTCTCATTCCTTTTACAGCTAAGATTTGGTGTTCTCAACGTCCATGTTTGCACTGACCTTCTTGAGAAGCCAGCTACTGCTGCAGAGCAGTCATGGCAGCCTGGAACTTTATGGCTGTCACACTACTCACCACATGGGGCCAAATGTCCAGTCTGGAAAAGCAGACTCTCATTTTTACCATGTCAGACTAAATACAGTAAAAAGAAGAAAGACAAGTGGCTGTAAAAAGAAAAAGCAGAAGTGTAACTCTTGCGCCTGATCTTTTTCTCTGGGGAAATAAGTTGTCAGTCCAGGTGCTGAACGGAGTTGTTGGTTGAGAGAAAAGTCAAGTGGCTGATGGGGTGCACTTTACAGTAATTCAGATGGAACAAGCTGATTATCATCATGCCATTCAGTGAAGCTTGACTTCCCTGATTTTTGATGGCATTACGTGTGCCCTCACATCCTAGCCTACTAGTTTCTTTCAGTTAAGAACTGTGGGGAAGGGATGGGTGGCAGTCTAGACCTCCTTCAGGGTACAGGCAAGGAAGTTGAGTTGCTTGTTTGGGGAAAGTAAATGATTGGAGGAGGCAAGCACTTGCATTTTTCTCATGGTAGGTTGTCTACTCTCTTGCTGGCCTGGCCAATTCGGTGGCTTGGCCAAGCAGAAGGGCCCCACCCTTTAACAGCTCTGAGGATTCTGCTCCTGATCATCTGGTTGAACCAGAAATTCAGAGGCAGTACATAAATGTGAATAATCAAGATTTACCTGGAGAAATACAGAACTTCTGTCTGTACAAAGAAGAGGCACGGGAGGGAAGAAATCCATCCACCACTTCCACTTCTGCCATTGCTGCTGTTGCCTCTCCTCTTCCCCTCCCCGACTCCTCCCCCTCTTTCTCTCCTTCTCTTCTCCCTCCTCCTCCTCCTCTCCTCCCGGTTCCCCACCCCTCCCCCAGCCTCTTCCAGCTCCTCTTCTTTTGTCTTTTCCTCCTCTTTCCCCTCTAACTTTAGCCAGACCTTGAGTCTGTAACAGGAGAGGTAACTGGGAGACCCCTACTTCCTCCTTTCTGTGTTCTTCAGTTCCAGAAGAGGACTGGTAGGCTGGATAAATGTGGGAAATGCGTACCTACTTGACAAAGGTGAGCAGGGCATTCCTGCTGGCTACAGGAAGAATGTCCAGGTTTAAAAGGAACGATCTCTCACATTTTCTTCCTCCCTGACCTAAACTGCCTTCTGCTCTCTAAATGACAGGCGAACCTGAAGTTTTCAGAATAGATAAGAGGAACTGTCAAGTCTTCCAGCAGGGAAGTGGACCTCTTTGGATGAGTTCAGCCCTTGCAGGTGTGGTTCCCTCTGCCCTGCTCCTTGCCCCACCTGGCTGTGCTCGGGATACCCCTTACTGCTCCCCAGTCTGGAATGTCACTGGGTCTAGTAAGGGGATGAAAGTGAGCAGTGGATAAGGGCAGGAGGGGACAAAGGCTGTGAGGAGAGTGGCACCGTGCTTTTCAGGGGACTTTCTGAATGGCCTGATGTCAGAATTGCATTGTTGGGAGACTGTTAAATTTGTTCTCAGCTTTTGGGTACTTTGGGGTACATCCTGGTTTTGCTTGAAAGCACCTGGCAATCAGCATAACTCCTGACTTCACCAGCTCGACAAGGAGGCCGCATATCTTCTGATGGAGGTCATCTCCTCTTTTTCAGATCACCTGTTGGTCTCTACCTCTAAGACATTGCCTAGAGAATTTTATCTCATTTTAAATAGATCTTCAGGATAAGTAAGATGAGTAAACTGTTACCGCTGTGTCACTCGATCCTGATATTTATTTAAACACATATTTGGGAGGAGAGGCGAGGTGAACAAGAAAAAAATGTCATTTTCATATCATAGTTCTTTAAGTGGAAAAGCTTATCCATGACTTTATGCAAATGAGCAGAAAGTCCCAAAGAGACCTTCAGATGGAATTGATTATTCTGCTTTTCCTCCAGCCCTGGAAGCTTCTGGGACAGCACAACAATTGCTGATAACAGGGACTATATGTGTTCGGGACAACAGGAAGTAGTGACCAGCCAGAAGCTTGCCCTGACCTGGTTACAAATCTGGTTATAAAAGAAAGCAGCTGGAAAGAAATTTGCATGTCCAATAGGTTTCACTATTAAAGTTTACACAACGTGCAGTAATCGGCCAAGCTGGCTGGCTACCCAGATCACATGACTGTGTAGAAACATGAAACTTGACTATGTGCTCCAGCAAGTTTTACTTCTCCCTGGTGCAGGGTGTTTGCCAGCAGCCTGCGATCTCTCGGAAATCAGACTCGAGTGCCTGGGACCCTTGAGAGCAAAGGCTTACCATGCTACTCCCCAGGAGGGCCAGGCGCTGCTGACGCTACCACTGGACAGTTATTCGTGGCTCTTATAATTACCAAAAAGAATGGACAAGTTTAATAAAATAACTGTCCCAGCCAGTCAGAAGTTGAGGTAAGATTTTCCCCATCCAATACTTCTTCTTTTTCTTCTTCTTCTTTTTTTTTTAATGATCTTACTGCAGCTCAGAAATACTGAAATCCTGGAATGCTTTGCTAGTTCTAAGGCAGTGAGTGGCAATTGCAATAAGGAAGTGGACTGAGCTTTTAAAGAAATGAGTAGGAACAATTGGGCTTATTCTAGCTGGCTTTTACCAGGGATAGATTAACATGTAAAGCTCTGGAAAGACAATAAAAAAGAAAATCCAAGGGCTTAGATTCTACCAAAGGTCAACTTTCAGAGTCTGAATATAAGAAATTTTTCCAAAGAAGGGTTTGTCTACTTTGAGTAGACAATTTCGTTGTGGACAATATTCTAGTAGACAATATTTCATTGTGGATTACTATTTAATGTTAAGGATAGCTGTAATGATTTTTATTCACTGTAGTTTTACTATCTCTTATTTATTTTGTGGGTATATGTCACAAAATATATATGTGTGTTGGGGAGATTAAATCTGTTTCTCCAATGTTCTCATCTCGGTGTAACAATTATCTATAAAAAGCTACTTAGAAAGAATAAACCAGAAGTGGTCCAAGGGATAAGAATCAAGAAATTCCTCTGAACTATGGAAAAGATGACTTCCCAAATTTTGATTTTGGTTTTCTTTTTGTCTCATTGTAATGGCATCAAGGCTCTTGGAGATTGGAACTTTTAAATGTTCAATGAGTGTTTTACATTCCAACTACCATTTGAACTTCAGTGTTTCATGAGGTGATGTGACACGTGTAACAAGTAAGTTAACGCGAATAATAAGGAGCAAGAGATTTAGAGCTTTCAAGACAAAATCTAAGAGAAATTAGTCTGGAATTGGCAGAGGGACAGACTTTCATGGTTAGAATGTGGATGTTATACCTGGTAGGTGCTTGGTAAACGGTAGTTTGAGATGAACTACTGGTCTGGAATCAGTAGGCAGCCTGGGCCGCGGTCAGCCATTTTGAGGTTATGTTGTTCAGTGCTGCTGTATAATCTGCATTGACAGGGGACAAGAAGGTGCCTTAGTCTTGCCCTTGGTCTCAAGTTGTTACACCATCCGGGGGGGGGGGGGCAGGTAAGGCAGTGGAAGTAGTAAGTGACTAAATGTGTATAAGAAGGAAACTGGAGGAGCTGGAGAAGGTTTCATGGAGAAGATGCTTCAAGAGCTCAACTCTGAGAGGCGAGTATGATAAAAGAAGTTAGAGGATTGGAGGAAGAGTGTTATGTGCTGAGAGGGAGGAAATACAGAAGCTGATACTTGGAGCTAGACTTGCGTATGGTCCATTTGTGAGATGAGGGGGAGAGTTTTCTGCCCAACAGAGGCTGTAGAGTAGGCATGTGGAACTGGAAGGTCCTGATAAAGTTGGACCTATAGCGTGGGGCCAGATCAAAGGACAGTGAGGGCTCTAACTACAAAGAGTTGGAGAAGAGTTTACATTGTTAGAGATGTCACGCCAGCAAACTTGAGGGAGGTCGGCAGGATAGACTGGAGGGGGAGAGAATCTGGAGGCAGGGATGCTCAGTAGGAGGGGGATAGTTAAGTAACCCAAGCTTCTGGTGTTGTAGGCCTGGACTTGGGGCACAGAAATAAGAAGGGAAAGGAAAGGAGAGGTAGGAAAGACATGCCAAAGAAACTAACAAGACATGGACATTAGGACTTCTCTCAAATGAGCAATGGGATTTAAATGTCCTTTTCAGAGATATTCCATAATCTAGAACTATACTAAACCTTAGAACCTTTCAGGAAATTCTGATGGGAACGTAAATAAAGAAAGGCAATAGAACCTAAATCACTTTATGATTCCTCCCTCTGGGACAAAGTCCAGCTTGAACACAGAGTGGTTGATAGGCAATATGCAATCATAGATTAGAGGGTAGAAAACCAAAATTATATTGTAGATAATCATACACTACATTCATCTGCTTAGGCAGAAGTAACTTTTTTTCCCACTTGGTTACTCGGTTGTCTTTATGGAATTGGCCTGTTTTGGTAAAACGTGCGCTGTCGACGTGGAACTTTTCAAAGAAATGAAATTGTAAACACAATGGACTTGAAGCACCTTCTTATTTCTTTTCTGTAATTACATGGGATGGTGAGGAATAGGTAGATGAAATACTTGATCCCTGTGTTTTGTATCCTCTGTTCTGACTGGTTAATACCAATTCAGAAAGTTGCCTAACTGTAATTATTTGGCACCTGATGACAGTGTAAGTGAAGAGTTGTGTTTATCTCTTAGCTTTATCAAAGTTTATGTGAGAATTTGCTGAAATTCTTAGCCACGAAAACAAAGAGATAGTTAGTGTCCATCAAGGGGAGCTAAAAGGGATGACATGATCTAGGGGGTGTATTCTCAGGGCTGAAAAGGGACTGGAGGCAGAAGGGAGTGACCAGCAGGGAAGAGGAAGCATTGTCAACCAAGGAAAGGAGGACAGGCTGGAGAGGAAGGAATCAAGGGTTCTCAAAATGAAGGAAAAAGAGAAGGTTCCCAGATGGACACAGTTGGGGATAAGTACTCACTCTGAGAGTTTCTGCTGTGGAAGAATTGAGAAAGGCGAGATGGCAAAGTTGTATGTGACCACAGAAATGTGTGAGCACAGATTCTCGCTATTTTCTCCCACTGAGGCACTACGTGAAGTAGCTTTCTCTACTAGTAGGACTCCATAAACTCTCAGGATCTTTCAGTTGATTCTTAGCCTTGATTTTCCCTGGATTTCATAAGGTAATGATATCGTTAGAAATCCAGCTGGGACCTGGCTTCTCAATCCTTCCACAGTAAACATTCCTATGACCATGAAAATTTTACACTCTTAGGAAAACATTTCAAGATTTACTCTCCTGAGTCACATTGACTGTATTCTTTTCAAGTTAGTGAAACTAGTTTGAAAAGGAAATTTTGTATTTTTAATAACCTCCCAATTGACTCGTGTTCTACGCTTGTGTATTTTTCTTTGTGGCACCCACGAACACATACTCAGTTATTTTTACAAATGGAAAAGGTCCTTGACACTAGTGTGGTCAAGTCTGCCCAGTCCTTATCTTCTAGGTTGAAGAGAATGGTATTTTTCAGTCAAACTAACATACATGTGACTTTAGGAAAGTTTACTTAACCTCCCTGGTCCCAGTTTCTGCAGCTGGTAAGATAGAGATAATAACAGTAGTGATCTCATAGGGCTGTTGTAAGGATTAAATAAATTATTTTGTGAAACAACAGACACATAGTGATCCTGGCACATAGTAGTTATTGGATTGAAAATGGTAGTTATTAATATGATTATTGTTATTCTTATTAATTCTATTGGTGTGCAATTGATTTTCTGAACATAAACAGAGGACTTTACATTGATCCTTGATAAATTTCTTGTTAGTTTCAGTTCTTCTTTCCAGCTATTTTGGCTATTTTACCTGTTGATTCTGACATCTGTGGCATTTAGCTTTGCATGAACTGTAGACGTAATAAACATCCCTTCTCTTCCTTCATCTGAGTGGCTAATAAAACTTTTGAGAATGACAGAGCCCTGTCGTGGGTGTTTGAGTCTCACCGGTAGTGCGCTCACCCAGAGACCTTATCTGACAGATTCTGGGACATGGCTTCTCTTCTCAGGTCTTGGAATCCTCAACCAGAGTTTCCTCAACCAAAGTCACTTGACTTTCCGAGTTCAATTCTTCAGAAACAAACTTATCTTCTTTTCACCTTTCTCCCACTAGCTCCCTTCTGGGTTCTCCCTGTTTCTGTCAATGGTATTGTCATGAATCCTAAGTCTGATTCATCCTTCTCTCTGCACCGCCACTCACCTACCACACCCTTTAGTCTTTCTTTTATGATGCTTCCATATATGCCCTTTTCTACCACACCATCCTGGATAGGTCCTCACCTCCCTGTGTCCCCATCTACAAAATGAGGAGTTCGGACCAGGCAATTTCCAAAGTCCCTCTCAGCTCAGATGCTGCATGACCCTTTGGGCGTGGAGTCCATGTTTGGCATATGTTACATCCTCTAAGGCTGCTGTTTTATCCCATGACCCTCAGGAGATATTTCCTGATTAAATTATCAATTTCTTTGAGACAGACAGTTTTCAAAATATTTTCACACTCTTTTCTTATTGTTTTGAAAGCTGCCTATCTCTGAACACTGGGGTCAGAGAGCACATCTAGACAACCTCCAGATGAGATCATCTAGAAGGCAGCTATGATGTATTTAGAAGGACAATGCAATTGGAGCCCAAAAGGGCTGGAGCTATGGATCCTGAGGAAGTCTCCTAGCCTCTCTAAGCCTTAGTTTCTTCAACTAGCAAATAAAACTAGAGATGTGTTCCTCACAGGGTTGTTGTGAAGACCAAGTAAGAGGACAACATGGGCTGAAGTGCCCAGAATGATATTTGTCACTTGGTCAGTATAACAAATAAATAAAAAGTAAACACAATGACCAGGACCTCAACCCACCTATCACGAGTGATCATTTGCTATCACTCTTTCTACTCATGGTAATATATCCAACCTCCTTTAACCAGAGTGGCAAGCAGAGCGGGACGCTGCCCAGGGCCTCATGGTGGATAGAGCACTCTTGAATACACATGTGCCTGGGGGCATCTCCCTTCTCTTCCTTTAATAAGCTTAGGTCATGAGGCCAGTGCTGATGTGGGAGGGCAAAAGGAGGCACAGCATCTAATGGTAGAGATAAGACAGACTTCCCTGGAAGTATGGTTTTCCATCGTCTTCACACTACCTACCTGCATTATGTCAGCTGAGAATCCATTCAGCTGGGCCATCTTGTATCACACCAATGGACAGAATACTCAGACAAATGTTCTTTCTCCTGTGGCCGTCGCATGGGAGGTACATTATTAGAAATTTGCTTCATGTTTGTGTAGACTTTAGGATCATCAGCTAAGAAAACACAAGGCACTCTCTCACCCACTCTGCCCTCCCCCAAGACACAGCTGCCTCATTTAGATCAGTGGATCTCCACCAAGGATAGTTT